ATATTATATTTGGACTTTATTTTAATGTGATAGTGATTATAATATGTTTGTGACTATATAGAAGTCATTTATATATATAAAAATTTGGGATTGTAGATCAATGTGATTAAAGAGAAGGTGTGACTATATAAGAGGTGACTATATAGGAAAACAACTATACTTACTATCTAATACATGCGTATATATATATAATATTTCAAAAAATATTATTTCTGATCTAAAATATACTCCCTTAAATTCCTTTCATCTAATAAAAGCATTTTTTCCTTGTTATTCTCGTTATGATAAAAGAAGTGAGAAATCATCAAAAGTCAAAGAATTTTGCTTAATTTGACTTTTAGATTTTCCTTTTGATCATCCATGATTAGCAGAATGTTTTGTTCACTTGTAATTTGTTAAAAAGGTAAGAGTTGGAAAGTATTTTTCATACTCAGAACAACAAAGATGAAAATAAGTTGCTTTTTTGAAAGATGAATAATGTGAATCTTATTCTGGAACTTTTAGGTGATTATAATATTTGAGAAGATGTATTAGAGTCGTATAATATCTATCCTTTACTTTGGTAATAGGAGGTAAAAAACCATCATTTATTCGAAGGAACTCTATGGCTTCTTTTATACAAAGTGATCTATAATAGCTCGTATTTGCGCATCGTTTGATGTCAAGAGAATATTAGCACAAATTATAATGATTTTCAATCTATGATCACAGTACAAAACATTCAGTTAAGTCAGTTATTTCTTCCTCCTCTTGTTTCTTTTGTTTTTTTTTATCTTGTCGTTTCAGTTCTTCTGCTTTCTCTTTATTCGTACTCTTAAACTGCAGATTTTTGAATGGATTTTTAGACTCTTTGATGTACTTTGCATTTACACTTTTTCCAAAGATCAAATCACGATTCCAAATATCGCAAAGAATTTCTCCAGCATATCTGAAATTTTGAAGAGCTAATTCTGGATTTATTACTTTGCCTTGCGTATTTAGATGCATTTCAAAATGATTTATTAGTAGCGTAATACTTGCCAACTTGCTAGATAACGTTGTCATACCCTTTCAACAGAATTGAACTTGGAATGTTCTAGAGCATTCATTTGTATACTCAGGTAATCTAAGTTGAATTTTTTAAAAAGCTGACAATAAATTTTATATTTTTTAAATGCCTTGAGTTCTTATCTGATCCACCATCTATAGAGCTCCGAACAGGTCGGGTCGGGTCGGGTAATTGACTTGACCCGACCTGATAAGGTCAGGTCGGGTCAGACA